AGCAAATAATGAGTAATGAAATAGCAATAACTAAATATCTACACAGTGAAATCTCTGCAAGAAGGGCATCCATGGCTCTTATCTTTCATGGAATCCATCATCTTATAGAGATATTTAAAGTTTAATATTTAAAAAAAATTCTGTGAAGTTTGATTTATGATCTCAGAAACATTACTCATTTTCAGGAAGTGGTTGCCCCAATGATTTCACTGTAACTGTTAAAAATGATCAATAATTATAAATAAGTAAGCAGTAAAATCAAAACTTCTGCCCATTTCACAAACCACTGCATTTAATAATTGTTACTGACAACTTATGTTAGCACACAGTGATGAAATAGCACATATACATATATAAATAGTAAACTATTACATAAGTTAATATTAAATGTAATGAAATCTCCCTAAGATGACCATATATGATTCCTGATGATTTTTCAATTTCTGTTTCTTTTAATAGCTTTTAGATTGCTCAAACAAGAAAATAACTACATATTACTAATGCCCAATAATAAAGCTTTTTTATGTTCTCAGAATTACTGTTAACTTTCAGAAGTTTCCAAAATTGTTTTACCAAAGATTTTGTACAATAATAAAATTTCATATGTGTTATATGTTTTTATACTTATTATAAGTAATGTACAGATCATAATTAAATTGCCAGATTAATTTTTCAAACTGCAGATTGGTATTTTTGCTTTCATTGAAAACATCAAAATGGATGTACGTCCAATAGTAATGTGGATTTGTGCCTTTATGCAAACAAAAGCAAGCTCTTATGATATAAGTCAGTTGCATTTAAGAAATATATAACTTACAATCGTTACACAAAAATACAATAAATATCAAACATCTTTAACATGACTCATCCTCGCCATTTTAGGTCAATACTATTTCTTACTGCTGGATAGAAATTTCTATTAAAATTTTATATGCTGGATATGAAGGTTTATATATTCAGGAAAAACATGACTATTGATTTGACCATTTGTCATTTTTTATGGAAATTTTTTTCTATGTAATTTTATTCCATAGTACTGTTTTGTTTTTAAAACAGTATTTTATTCCTTTATTATAAATAAAATGACAAAATAATCATATTTATCACAATATGGTTTATTTTAAATCCTTTTTTTATTATTACTTATTTTTATTTTTCGCCTTTTAGGGGTTTCATTCTGTCCATCAGAATATATAAGTGAATAGTAAAAACTGATGTTGAGAGGATGAAGGATAATTGAATTTCTGTTAAATTATATTTAACAGTACATATCTAAAAAAATATAAATTTAATACAGATCTCCACTTTGCAAAAGAACAGCACTGCTGTAAAATCTTTAATAAGACAAAATGGTAAAAAGTAATGAAGCAGCTAAGGTGAATTTATATAGAAAAACTAACCTTTATTAAAGGATATTATATAGAATCCTTTTTTTTTTTTAAAAAAAAAAGGACAGCTATTAAATCATCATTGGCATTTATTTCTGTATGGTTAGCTTCTGTGCTTGTGTTTCAGATGCTAATGTCTGAAATGTTGACTCATACCTGATACTCTGAAGAAACTTATGGAAATGATTCACCACGAAAATTTTATCACAAATGAAATCATGAATGCTTAGGAATACACAGAGCTAAAATGTCTTACAACTAGTCCGAAGACAGTATGAGAATTATAATAATCTGCCTGGGGAAAATCTTAAAGCTGATAATGTAACCAAAGTCATAGGTAAGGTTTTCAGTGCCCAGCTGAAGTTTTCGCACCCCTTTTGTTTGCTAAGAACGGAAAATATTTAATTTTAAAATTTAGTAACATCAGTTTGGCTCCCCTTGGGGGGGGGGAGCCAAGGGACATATGTCTACCCTCACTCCCCTCTAGCTATGCCCCAGGAGGTAACAATGAAAAGAATGTTACATGCGAACCACCATGCAAGGAGACCAATTGTCCTCCTTTGGTAGACTCTGTCCTTCTTCAAGAAGTGTCCTCCCAACTGTCTTCCTTTTCAATATTTTACAACTAATCTGTTTATCTCTGTATTAGTTAAAGAGGCTGCTTTGAAATGTTACACGTCAATGGTCATGTGATAGTGCAGTTCGAAAAAACATGATTATAAAATGCACAGACAGCACATTCTGGGCATATCAAAACATCATGCAGCCACACTTGTCATGCACCCTCACACTTTTGCGCACTTTACTTTGTTTATTTTAATGTGTCTATAATATTATAGTTCGCATTTACATCTGATGCAAATACAAATTTCCTTTCACTGTATAATTATTATACTCTGAGTATAATAATTGTGACAATATACTTGCAGAAGACTTGAAAAATGCAGTATTTGTAACAGTTTTATCTGAGGCATCGAATCATAATGAAACAAAATTGTATCCAATACTAGTAAGATATTATAATGTTAACAAGGGCACTCACATAAAAATTTTTAATTTAAAGTCTATTGAGGGCGAAGAAATTTTGGTGAACCATCTATACAGAGTAATAAATGAAAACAATTTGAAATATAAAGTTGTTGCACTAACAGCAGATAATACAAATACAAATTTTGGTGGGAAAAGATGCAAAAGGAGTAAATAATGTCTATGAAAAATTACCAGATTTACTCTAAAAGAAAACACTAGGCATAGGTTGTAATACACATATTTTGTCAAATGCAATAAACATGGCATCATCTGCCATGCCAATTGATGTAGAAGTAATAATAACAACAATTTATTTGTATTTTAGTCGTTTTACGGTTCGTGTGACTGCTTTAAAAAAATTTTGTGAAGACGCAAATGTCCTGCTTTGTTCGCTTTTTGTCCTCTTTTTCATTGTAAAAAGAAAAGGGTCACCTTCATTAAATCATTTTCTTATAATATAAATGTTGTCCTTTTTTAAAATCATATCAATTTCTTAAGAAATAAAACATAAATAAAAGAAACAATCATATGATGAATACATAGATTATGTAGATAGAAGTACATGTATATTCGGTGTAAAAAAATGAGTCCATTGGAAACTGTAAAGGAGATGGCAGTGAAAATGTAAAGTGAGTTGTGAAATATCTGGTTGTGCAAGATATAGGAGACAGGTTGAAGACCACTTATTAATATCTAATTATTTGAATCTATAAGATCACTATGTCTATAATTTAGGTGCCCAAATGGGTCAAAAAGTTAAAAATTTGTTACACACTTTGACTAATGTTTAGGATAATATACCTAGCTGTTAAAATTGATATCTGCAGATACTTCCTTAAAATTGTTGGTTTCCTTGTTTTTCCTGTTACATCATAATTGGTCCTACTTTTCAGTGCAGGCATTATATGAAATAAATGTTGCACCATAATTCTGCTTTCCAACTTTCTTCATAAAAGTGAAAAGATGTAAAAAAGAACAACTTTTTAAACAGAAACAGTAAATTTTACATAAGCTGCAATAATAAGTGTAGTTAAATATAGTAATAAGCAATAAAATCTGTATCTAAAATTATCTAACATTCTTGCATTCAAAATTCTTTAGTTTTTAGTCATCTAAATTTTCTCAGTAATCTGCCGATTACGCCCTAATTTGTAAATAAAGATAAAACAATTGATATCTAAGACACTACTTAACAGTCTTACTTTTATTTTCAAAGAAAATATATCTATACTTTTTGCAAATATGCAGTTTTACGATTGTAAGGACAAATATTGTAGAAATCAACACGGAATCTCTGCATTGATGAACTCTGACATAATTGTTCATTATATATAAAAACAAATTCTGTTAACATGAAAATATATATGTGGACAAGTTTTTTTACATACACAATTCTTTTGACCTAAATATTTATTTTTGATTGATTTCAAAGAGGCAATCATAAAAATTTCACATTCATTACGTATAATATAAAAACAAATATTTTAGAAAATGAATAATAATTGCCTTCCTTAAAACTTTTAGGGAAATATGTTTTTAATACAATGTCAGGTTTCTTTTCATAATACAGTGGACATATTCAACAAAGAGTTAACAGAGCGTAATGTTCGGAAAAAAACTTGCTTAGCAAAACAATCCATTATACAGTTTTTTAAATATTTCAAAGATTACTCCACTTGACAATAAAAACCGTAATATAATAAAACGTATCTCTCCATTAATTCAGTAATAAATAAGTAATAAGTATCTCTCCATTAAATAGATAATAAAATATAACACAGATTTCAATCTGATTTCATAAATTTCATGCATTTTAAAAACTACTGCACACTCCAAATATTATATACATATATGCCAGAAATATATATTTCTATTTGTGTATGTACGAAGAAATAATGCATGAGTAAAATCACATATCTAATGCATTTTTTGAGCAGACTGATTAGTTTTAATGCACGCGTATGTATAATGATAATCTTAAGTTCTTGCTACAAACTATAACACTAAAGAGAAGAGTCGTAAATATTTTGTAAAAACTTCCCCAAACCCATTCACATAGGCAATTACAACATACGTAAAAGTATGATAACAAAAAATAACCAGTACGGCGATAAATAGCCAATTACAATAACCCTTCATTCGTCAATACCACTCGTGTGTCGAGAGTATTTGCCTTGAGGCCGGTAAATATCCGGGTAAGCCTCCTTCGTCGGGTCTCAGATATCAGACAGATTCCTGCACTGGGACACCACCGTGGCTCGGATACAGGTTTACGCACATCATGCTCTTAAATTACAAAAAATTTAATTCATATTTTTGACTTACAAAAAGATTTAGCAATGTTATCATTTTTAAAATTAAGTAAATATTATATAATTTGCCAAAAAATCCCACGAATTAAAGAGCAAATTACTCTTCTTTATACTCAGCAAACGGTATACAAACGCATTGCCTTCATAAAAATGATCTGGAAACTGTATTGGTATTTCAGCATTCACTATTTTGCTGTAGTAAAAAAAATTACAAAATTCAAAATTGCGCACAAAACAGTCATTTAAAATGTCACTATTTAGAAGTGACGTAGTGAAATGGTTTTTATGGATTGAATTAGAAATATCATTTAAATGCGGATGCAGTTTTAAAACTATTGATTATCTTCGAAGCTATTAAATTATATAAAAAATAAACATTGCACAGGGCATATATTTGATAATGGGACATAATTTTATGACTTTAATAGAGCTAGTAGTTAAGATTTGGCAGCATTTAATCTCCTGCTTTAACTGATCTCGTTTGTTTACATTTTATGTGGTTTCCTGTTGTTTAAGGATTTTATTATATGTTTGGCATTTCTTACTTAATTTACTCAGCCACTTCTGTTCAGTCGTTTAAATGTAGAACAAAAATCGTTATTTCGTGTGTATGATTTAAATCATGAAAAACAATCGTTCCATCGTGACATATATGTCGTGACTGTTTACCAACATGTCTTTCTACGGTACAGTAGGCGTTGTTGCTTTATGTGTATTAGAATATTTTTCCTTATTCAGTTAAAAATAACTGCATTAGCGTTTTCATCTTACAACGGAGATTATTCGCTGAAACATGTGTATGTAATGTGTGACAATAAGTGTTGGATTTGACCAATATGGTTTAGCTGCTTGTGTTTTAAATTTACATATTCCCATGTGACATTGTGTAATGTTAATTTTGATTGCATGTAACTATGTGAGCAAATGTTTCTTTGCCACATAATTCTAAATAATTCTAATATTTTTATGTGCTTTAACTGATATTAGTGTTTTTGTGTATGTTTGTCAACAGAAACGTTTAATTTTTGTTACATTGATTGGTAAATTATTCGTATTTAATAATTAATTCAGAAATAAAAAAATTTTGGAAAATCATATCCGTATTTCTTTTCTTTTCTTTTCTTTTTTTTTTTTTTTTTTTTTTTTTTTTGTTAGTAAATTATATTTGACATGTTTAGAATGTTAATTTTTTTTTTTCAGATGGTTTATCAAAATATCTGGCTTTGGCTCATTGTGGCCCTTTTTATTGCCACTTTTGGGTCCCTAATATTAGTAGCTATGCTTTTCTGTATCATCATCTGTATTGTGAGGTGAGTATATGTATCAGATTCTGTTGATGAAAATCAAAAATGATCAGTTGATGAAAATCAAATCATTCTTTATTATTGCTATCTTTTTTGATGGTAATAATAAAGTGATAATAATGATCTATTTTTTTTTTCTGTTCTTTATTTAGATGAAGAAGTTTGCATACAATCAGACAATATTTCTGATAATTGAACACAATTGTTGAAATAAATGGGGACTTGGGAGAAAATATTGTGTGAAGTGTCTATTCCAATTTTCTTGACTATGTAGGAAAATATTAGAAGTTTGTTATTGAATGGGATCGAAGATAAACATCTTGTTCCTTTTTGTCTGAACAGTTAATCAGCTTGAAAAAAATTTATTGTTCAGCAAATGAGATATTCATAAAAAGGTGATGACAGGCATTATTTCCTAATTCTCCACATTAATTCTCAACATATTTCTCATAACTAGAAAGGTATTTTAAAGTAGCTTCAGCATTATCTATGTGTATGGGAAACTCTGTAAATATGAGACCTAATATTTTATGTAAAATTTGTAGGTACTTGACGATAAATGTACTACATCATCTTCCAGTGCTTAGTACTGAACAATTTTAATCACATTTTAACAGATTTAAGAAGGAACATAAAACTTTATTTTGAGTTAAGGTTAAGAGATGCCTCGAAAGAAAAATTTTGTGAAGCTATTTCTTCTATGGTAACTGGCTTGTATTCGTATTACATATGAAGAAAATCATGAAAGTACTCATGCAACATTTCCATTTGTCATGTTCAAACCCATGTTGCTACCAACATTCAGTAACATTATCTGCCCAGCCATTGGTGAAAAAAATACAATATGAAGGTTGTTTTTCTGTACGAAGGAAATTTATTGTATAATGCATTATCCCCTTACGGTTAACTTTCTAGCTAGCTGCATAGAACTATTAATTTCTAATACCTTTGCAGATTTTTCATGTAAAGCTAGTTAAATATAATTCACACCACAGTTAAAATGCTAAATTAGCATAATGAATATTTTGTTCATTAAATGTTTTGATCATATAAAAAGTAAAATTATGTGTTTACAGACCCTGTTTATTTTATTTTGAGAAAATTTGCTACAGGAAATATGATTCTAGAATTGAAATATAGAGTCTGTAGCTATTCTCGGTAAAAGTATAGTTTAGGGTACCCCTTGGCGATTTTTGACGGCACATGGATACCGATTTTGTACAATTCTTTGACTCGTTATTTTGGCTTGCAAAGCGATTTTTGCGCCAAAAATCGCCACTACACAAAGCCAAAATAACAAGACAAACAATTGCACAAACTCGGTATCCATGTACACATCGACTTATTTTCACTTAAAAAAAAATCCTCAAATCGCCTAAAAATGGCATTGCGCACTCATTTAACTTTATCCATGTACACGTCAACCTATTTTCACTTAAAAAAAAAATCCCTGAATTGCACAAAAATGGCTTTGTGCACTCTTTTAACTTTATCCATGTACACGTCGACATATTTTCACTTTAAAAAAAAAAAAACCCAGTATTGCACAAACTTGCATTGCACACTCCCTTTACTTTTGATATATTTTCACTTAAAAAGTCAAAGGAGCACCAAATTCTACAATATAGGCACACAACAAATACATAATCTCAATAAAATACATTTTAAACCAAGCAATAAAATAACATAAGAAAGGAAAAACATGTTATACATTTAAGCACTACCAAAAGCAAATATTCACTTACCATGATTTTCAAATTCGCTTCATACACCCAGAGCCATGTAAAAATCAAAATCTAAATCATACTCAAATGACATTTTTCAAACCAGGTACTCTTTCTGATCGAACGCTTCATATAGTGACCATCTGAACCTTTCTTCCTACAAACCCATTCAAATCCATCTAAACGGTTTTTACATTTGACTAGACACATATCCTTCCTACATACTGGACACTTATAATGGCTACTAAGCAAACCTTCATTTACACACCAGTCAATTAGAGCTCTTTTCCCCTTTTGCTCCAAGTCGTACAGAAACTTCAAATTAATCTTACTATATTCGGACATTCTACCGTCTAAAGAATCAAACCAACACACACCACCAAAACACTTACAAAACATCCCATGATTAAAAAATTCCCAGAATCATGCACCCGATTTCGTCACAGTAGGGTTTCCATAACATTTAACTACTCAGGCTACCATAAATAAAATAACAACTTGGCGATAAATCAAACAACAACTTTGCCATAATACAAGGGGTACCTGAAAGTCTACTCTACCCCTATTCTCTTAACATCTAGCATACAAAGATTCACAGTTTTACGGGACTTGATTCGACTAGGTTGCATAGCTTAAAACAACACTCACTGTAATGTCTTCTAAAAATCAATTAAATGTAATTAACAGAAAAAATTGACTGAGGTTACTCTTGAATTAAAGTAACAGTTTTTTTCCTCCCTGTATCAGTACAGAACAGTTGATTTACAATTAAAAAATTTAGAAAAATTAATTAAAATACTAATTGTATTGTTATTTATTTATTAAGTGATCTAAACTCAAACTTCTGCCAATCAGCTTTCTTTCAGCTACAAGTCGCCTTACTGACAAATCGCATAGCACTTCCACTTTTGACTTACCCACTATGGCCAGTTACTCAGTGTGTGACCTCCTCCATCATTTGAAGCTCAACTTTCATCTTCAGCTTTGTTTCTATGGAAATGCTCTTAATTGCTTTGCCTCTACATTATCTGCTCACCACGTGCTATTGCTTATCACTCCAACCACTTATTTAACTACAAAATTTGGAAACTAATCCAACACATGGATAGGGATAGGGCCCAATGCAATGAACTGTTTCTTCAGTGACAAGATATCACACATGTACAAAAATAACATTTTCAATTTTGCATTATTTATTAACAATGTTTGTTATTAAGGATTATTTAGTAAATAAGAAGTGATATTTAACCATACTAAATTTCTTTTACACAATTTTTTTCCCCAGTATTCTATTAATTAAATTGTTTAAAACTGTCTTTAGCATTTTCGTAATCTTATACTATTAAAATAATTTGCTTCTTATAGCATATATTGCTATAGTCACTGTATCAGCTTTAAACATATATTAATATTTTATAATTTTTATAAATGCTATACTGTTAATATAACACATGTATTAACATTATAACCTAATGTTAGTATATGTGTGATTAATATGTTGCATTTTAATCACCCACTTATATGTTGAAAATATATTGCTTTTTTCCTTCTCTTTTATACTAATTGTAACATTTTAATTACTAATTAATTTATTCATCATAATTGATATGATTCAGAAATAAAATCCTATGATAAAACTAATTATGAAGAAAGTATATGTGCTTATAAGAAAACTTCCAAATTAAAATTATTCATATTTTAAGTATCAGTGAATAATAGATGAAACTTGGAAAAGAATAACTGCCAGAGTTAGGTTTAGTTTCAGGTTCATTCAAATGAAAATGTTTGGTACTTTAGGGAGAGAAATAATTCCTCTTTCCGGATGAATAAATTATCTGTCAAAGAATAAGTTTATATATCATTAGTTGTAATATTCAGCTGGATACAATTGTAAATTACTACAGAAACTTAAATGTATGATTTATTATGGCATTAATGAGGCATAGGGTAAAGAATTCTAATCAAGTGTTCCTTAAGTGTAAATTCATTGCTAGTCAAACAACTGAAAGTTGGCTGGTGTTTGATTTTGTCTGTATCCGAAATGTCAACAAAATTACGTTGTGTGATTTAAAAGTTGTAATGTAAGACCTGCCAATGCTAAAAAAAGGAGGGATGGGTTTGCCTATAGGTGCCAAAGGAAAAATTTGATGAAGCTAGAAAAATTTTATGGTGCTAGACAATAAAGGGCCGCACTAAACTTTTCATCAACAAAGTGATATATATGACTGTGTTGCCTGACCATGTTACAGTTCATTTGACAAACAATTATTTGACGGGAAAATTGTCTGTGTAATTGTTTAATGAAAATTGTCTGTATCTTTATAATGCAAAAAATTATTTAGTGAACTGAAATTCAGTATGCGTGATGTTCTTCCACTTCACAACAGTAAATTGCCATTTCAATGCATAATTCCAAACATTCTGTGCAACATTCCAATAATTAAGTGTGCTATATCATCTGGCTTTATGCCACAGTGTTCACACACCTGTTTCTTTTTTTCTCATTGTACAGTAAGGTGGCAAAAGTTATTGGATATGTCCTAATATCGTGTTGGTCCTCCTGCCTGGCAAAGAGGAGCAACCCAACATGGCATAGACTCAAAAGTCAAGTCATTGGAAGTTCCCTGCAGAAATCTTGAGCATGTTGCCTCTTAAGATGTCCATAATTGCAAAAGTGTTGCCAGTGCAGATTTTGTCTACAAACTGACCTCTTGATTATGTCCAATAAATATTGATGGTATTCATGTCAGGCGATCTAGGTGGCCCAATCATTTGCTGGAATTGTTCAGAATGTTCTTCAAACCAGTTGTGAGCAGTTGTGGCCTGATAACATGGTATATTGTCATCTATTAAAATTCCATCTTTGGTTGGAACATGAATTATACATACTTCAGCCATAAACAGCTGAAAATAGTCTCCAAGTAGCTAAGTATAAGAAAGTGAATAGTTATTTTGTAGAAGCTATTACTCAATTTTTTTACTAAACCAAGCTTAAATTAAACAGTTAAATGTATTATTCGTTGCAAAAATAACAGTTTTAAAATTTGCACTGGGTAGTAAAGATGCTGTGTGTTTTGCCGCAGTTTATATAATATATCCTTAATTTGAACTGGCTCAACATCTAAGGCAATTATGCATTTTTCAAGATGTTTTACTGGAGAAAGTACTTGCATATCCTAAGATGGCCCCAAATAAGTAAATTTTATATATTGTTTTCTAAGAAAGTTAATTAAATGGGCTATCATATCCTGAAAAAAAAAAAAAAAAAAAAAAAAACACTTATAACATAGAAGTAAAGGGATGAGTTATCTTAGCATCATTTTAAAAATTCGAATTTGTGCACCTTGAAGTGAATATTTTTTTGGGAATCATCATATGTTTTTGCTCAGTATAGAGTATTTTTTGAAAATGATTATTTTAAAATCTTAAATAATTTCTTATGTTGCTACATAAATATCTAAAAATGAAATTTAATGTTTCTTCAAAGTTGTAATTAATGATATGTATTGTTATCAAATAATTTTTCTTTTGTTTTAGCATTTTTCTTATAGCACATATACACAGCAGAGCAACATATGCTCCTCGGTATTGTGTGTATCAAAGGGTAGCATATCCTAGTGCACTTTTGAAGGTAATTTTTGTTTTTTAATCTCTTCTATGTACTATCTGCCTGTCTATCAATGTATATATCTGTGTCTATGTATGTATTTATATATATAATAAAAACAAATTTAGAAGTACTGATATAGGACCACTGAGATGTAGAAACACAGAAATTTGAAGAGGAAGAATTCTGATTGTGTAGAATGCTGAAATATGGAATCCGTAATGGCTAGGAAGCTGGCAGTCAAGGCAAATTAAATTTCATTTTTATTTCAATTGACATTCATGGCCACAATTAATTTGGCACACTGATCATGCCTATTCACAAACATTAAAAATTTTTTTTATATAGTTGTGATAGAAAAAGAGCACAGTGAAATAAAATCTTTACAGGAAGAGAGGTAGAAGCTAAAATGCACAATTATCATACATGGAAGAAGCTTACTAAGAAAAAATTCTGGTTTAGGTTGGCAAGGTTTCAGTGCTCAAAGCTTCGAGTTCAAGTCCTGAATTACCTATGTCATCAGCATTATGCAAGCCATGTTATATAGATTGATGTAGAAATAACACAGTCCTGAAAAGCTATTATGATTTTAGAATATAAGGAGGAAATACTCATATTAAAATTGAGGAGTTAAGAAGCTATTATTAAGTTAAATTATAAAGCTGATTTACATAGTTTTTCATACACACATACACGTATATACTATATGACATAATAAAAGCAAGGAAAAGCTGGAACACTGTTGTTGTGTAATAGCTATACAGGGTAGATCCATACTGAAGAGGAAGAATTCTACAGTATGCTAATAATGTTAAGTTCGTAATATCTAAAAAACTTGGCAGTCTAGGCAGCTTTAATTCCATTTTTATTTGCAATTGTGGCCACAGTTTGTTTGGCACTCTAGCTGTGCCCAGAGCATTTACATTTTTGATATTATTGCAATAGAAAGCAGCATAGCGAAATTACCTCCAAGCAGAGCAGAGAGAGAAGCTGAAGTGCGTAGTTATCTTATACGGAAGCATGCGAAGGGAAACATTTTGGTTTGAGTTAAAAGTTTCAGTTCACAGTTATTACGTCATCAGCGTTTGTTGTGCAGGCCATGTAAAATAGAATGATCTAGAAATGATGCAATCCAGAGAAGTTATTACAATTTTTAAAATAGAGAGGAAGAATTAAAGAGTTTACCATTAATTTAAATTATAATTTTGATTTATATATTTTTATCTTACCTATATGTATATACATATAAAATATCTGCATGTGTCATTAAAACAACAGATTTAGTTTTTCTCTTTGAGATATATAAATGTTATTTAAAGCATAATGTAATTTGAATCATTTAAATCATTTTTGTCAAATGGGTTATCATTTACAATGAAGTTGTTTTTAGTTTGTAGAAATATTCTTCCTTAATAATCACTTCCTATGCCACATTTAGTATTCTGAATATTATGAATGGATAAAAAGGATTATTGTCATAATCTAATGAATTGTGAATATATTTTAATAAATTATTTTTTTTTTCTTATACTAAATATAAGTCTGCAAAACATTTACTAAAGTATAATATTATTTAAAATTGTTTTAAGCATTGGTGGGACCATCCATTATGCATGCTACACTTTACATCTGTAATTGCCATCCATTTATAAGCTTGACATTTCATGAATATTTCAAATTGCAAGCTGAGCAGATTGAAAGGTATCAAAATTGTACTGGTGATATTGCTTGTGTATGGTGCTTGTGTTGGTGCTATGAAAATAATTTCCTCAGCTGGTTGTTATGCATCAGCAACTTATTTCGGTTAATATTTGCATTATGGTAACTTAGCAATTTTTTGGCGAAAATTTGGCAACCAACCTTGCTACAGCAACCTGTTAGTTTTTGTTTGGACGCCATTTTGTTTTCACGAAGTAAAAGCATTTTTTTTCCCAACAATCTGCTAGCCAAATTACGCTTATGCTAGAACTTTTATGGAACAAAAGTGCTTAATCATGATGAAGATTAGGTGCAAAATTGGGAGAAAGTGCAGAATCGCCCACGGCTTGTCGCGTTTTAAGAATTGCACATACACGGTATCATCCATGTACACGTCGACCTATTTTCACTTAAAAAAAAATCCCAGAATTGCACAAAAATGGCATTGCGCACACTCTTGACTTTATCCATGTACACTGCTAAGGTCCTAGCTAGTAACCTTTATCGCCTTACCAAAACGTCGCCAAACTACCTGTTGCCATATTCCAAAGATTAGCCCTTATTTCAGTCTCACAAGAACAACAATTTGAAGTTTTCTTAGTTGGCTAACAACATTTAAGAACAATGTGTCATTGCAAAATATTTTTTGTTAACATTTTCACAATAATTAAACAAATTGATAGAACATTGCAACTTTTAAAATACACATAAATTAACTCTATTTTGATATAATTAGTCCAAAGGGATTTGAGTCTCGAAGGACTATTACTTTTGTTTTGGCATTTTGCATCGGACACCTATAAATGTCGGTTAACTTTTCAAAATGTTAGAGTCCTGCAATATATTTGAAGAAATTAAATAATGAAAAATCTGCATAAATGTATGTATATTTCTTGCATTGTGATAAAACAGCGGTATCTAGAGCCATCCAATTTTGAATGACGTAATCCTACTCCAAATATGGGCATCTGAAATTTCAAATTTGAAATTTGGAATTTGTTTTATTATCGATTTCATATTTTGTAAAACTTTAACGAATTTTTGATTAACAAACTCAAGGATTTCAAAGCGAGCAATGACAACTCTGGGAAAAAAAACCTTTTTATCTCCAGCGTGTCGAACTGTGTATTGGAAATTCTAAAGATATGCTCATTTTAAAATTATTTTGCGACATTGCTGTTGAACTAAGTTTTATGGTTTAAGTGCAAAGAACATGATATTTAATAAATAAAGGTAACACACAAAACTTTAAAAAGAATGCCCTTTTGGACGTAATTTAAAATCTGAAACATTTCAGATTTATTTCATATATGTATTTTAATTATTGTTGTGTATGTATTTTTATTTTTACCATGGACACCCCTCTATTACTAAAACTAATCACCCTGGCACTTGATGAAACTAAAATCATGGTAAAAATACGGAATGAACTATCAAAGCCAACTGAAATTAAAAACGGCATTCGACAGGGCGATGCATTGGCATGCCTTGTCTTCAGTGTTAGAAAAAGTAGTAAGAGATTCAAATGTCAATTCCAGAGGAAACATCTATTATAACCTGGTATAGTTATTGGTTTTTGCTGATGACATTGACTTTACTGCTAGAACACGGGCAGCCCTAAAATGTGCTTTTGTATCTCTAGGGAAGGAGGCTGTCGGAATGGGCCTGAGAATTGACGAAAATAAAATATATGCCATGCACTAAAACAGACTTCATCAAACACTGATTCAGAAGTCAAACAACAAAAATCTGCGTTATATTTTCAAATTTTCATAGGTCTAGTTTCAATGGTTTTACCAAACCACCATCCTCAGCTGCAAAAGCGCAAATGAACAAAATAGGGTATAATGATTAGATAAGAAAAGAATGCCTGGTCTGAAAATAAGCTGTTATGCCATCTGTTGATGAAACCAGAACTAAAACACAGTTCCTTAAAAGGCCGAAGGCAAAGATGGAATTGGGATTGTTATTAACAAGAACAGAAAGATTTTTTTGAATGTGAAATGCCTCTAGAAAATCCAGTTCTCCAATGGAAGATGCTTTTTGATTAATTTTGGCCGCAGAAAAATGGAAAGTGTTATTTTCATGGCAACAATGTTGGGCAACAGAAGACTTCTGTGTTGCTTTTTTTCTAACATATGCCTCATGTTCCTTGATGCCAATATAATTTGGAACAGTAGTCAAAGACTACCCAATTAATTACAATATCAGAAGCTAACTCCCCACTGTACTGGAGCATCAGAATTAAAATGTCGGCAGTGAGAAAATGCAAAGGTGAATAATTATGATCAGAGCTGGTAGGAAACTAACCATAGTATGCAGAAACAGTCTTTATCTTAAAATACAAAAACTTCAATTTAAATACTGGCTTCTTATTTGTATTCTGGTGAGAAATATGGAAGGGAATAGTTATAATAAAGGCTGAAATTAGAAACAACTGGTTAATTAACATAAAATTCCTTACATTTTCTCCACCAGAATATAAGTAATTGCAACTAAGGTCTGTAACGACCTTGCTGAGATTTAAAATTTTAAACCTACCGCATAAGTCAGCTTTTATAGTTATGGTGTTATATGTCTTAAACTAAATATTAATTTTTAGAACTTTTTATCTGATTGTACAAAACTTCACGTATCTTTCTCCAGTTTCTTTTTTTGTAATTTATTTTGGTGATTGCCATTACTGGCTGAAAATTTCTTCAGGTAATCAAAACGTCTACTGCTGACAAAATCTTGTGCTTCCTTTCACGACAAATCTATGAAAATATCCACTCAACCTCTACTTCTGTCCTGCTGTGCTTGTAGTCATTGAAATTTGCCTACTATCAAAGCTCACCTCTAACTCAAATAAGTGCTTTCTCGGGTTTTATAATTCAATAAAATCCTGAACCTAGGTAGCAATCTAGACTATTATTTGGATAACCTTCGCATCAGGTTTTTTCCCATACAATAAGTTTACTACTTGTATTTTCCTCAGTATAAATTCACTTAAATTTTCCACCTTAGTTTGATAGCTACAAAACTGTTCCGTTTGTAATTTGCCCTATCTTTCACAATTTCTCCCTGCCTAGTTTACCCCCCAAAAAAGTTACTGATACCTTTGCACCATCTCAGTGCCTGTCCTTGAAGTGCGGTGTTGCCGTCATGACATTCTGTTTTTTTGCAACCGGAAAAAGTGAAAAGTGCTCTCTAAATGTTCTCAAAAAAGTTACTCCCAAATTTCTACCATTGAATATAGTAGCAGGTTTCGTCGAAGTTTAGTGTCTAGGATGAATTCAAAGCCTTCCATTCTACTTCGTGGTACCAGTGGAGCCTGCAGTCCTGTTGGGGCTGGACTAAATATTGCTTTGTCTTAAGATATGATCAGTAATATGTTCGGGCGCCACTTTGTAGACTCATTTAGAAAGTATCCTGGGATTCGAACTCTGGAGTTTTTGATTATGCGTTGGACATGTTTCCAGTTACATAGGCATGTGGAAGGGATAGAGAAAATACCTTTTATGCTCTCCCTTTTTAAAGGGCAACTGAGGATGAGGAGATCCATTCACCAAATCCTGGTGGTATGAGAGTCACTTGTAGGGTTTCACTTGATGTGGTAATACTTTAGTCCAATAACCCCAATAGATTTGAAGCAAATTATTACTATGTTTGAAACTATGACAAAGTTGTGAAAAGTTTAAAAATAACCTGTTTTCATTTAAACAGAAATTAGAATGGTCAGAATTAAAATGTCGGCAGCTGGAAAACACAAAGCCAAATAATTACAACTGTCAGAGCTAGCAGGAGACTAACCATAGTGCACATATGACACCTAAAACATGCTCTGTATTCAGATTAAAAAAAGAAAGAAAGAAATTTAAAAAAAAAAAAATTCTGAAAGCTTTCAGATTTTATATTTAGGCTCAAAGGGGTATTTTGTAAGGTTTTGTGTTCTACTTTGATTTATTAAATATGTTCTGTGCACTTAACCATAAAATTCAGTTCAACAGCAATATTGCAAAGTAATTTTAAAACGAGCCTATCTTTAGAATTTCCGATACAGTTGCAGTCACACACTGGAGATTAAAAAAAATTTTTTCCCTGTACAGTGTTGCCATTTCTTGTTTTGAAATCTTTGAGTTTGTATGTCAAAAATTCGTTATAAAAATAGGAAATCAATTATAAAACAAATTCCAATTTAGAGCTTCCAGATGCCCATAGTTAATGGAGGATTACATTATTCAAAATTTGATGGCTTTAGGTACTGTTGTTTTATCACAGTTCATGAAACCTGCATTCATTTTTGCAGATTTTTCATTATTTAATTTCTTTTAACTGTAATACAATGCTGTATTATTTGGTGGCGACATTTTAAAAAAGTGATTTGCTGTTTACAGTGAATCAACGCAAAATGCCAAAACAAAATTAATAGTCCTTCTGGGCTAATGCCCTTTGGGCTGAAAATTGAAATAACTGGCTATTCATTTATATTCTGGTGATTCATAGTTACTCATTCTGTGCCGAAATAATAATAATAATAATAATGATAATAATTTTATGTAGTTATTTTAATGTTTATGATAAAATATGTGCAGTGAAACTGTTTTCCCTAGGTTAAGTTTGAAAATGATTCCCAGAAGCAAGGCAAGCGAGATCAGAGATTGACAGGTTCAAGTATGATTGATGATCCTTTGCAAGAGGTAGATGCATATTTATTGAAAAAAAATTGTTTTATCTTTGTATATTCTTTATTTATTTTAAATGAAACTTTTGTTTATGAGTAATGATCTTATCAAAGTTTTTGATCACGAAATCTTCACTGAAAACTTATTCAGGTTTCTAATGAAAGTTCCCAAATTCTGCTCATAAAACTTGGCATGTTATTAATTCTTCTTATTGGTGCCGATAAATGTTTAGGTATTTATTCTAAGCTGTAATTGTCTTAAGGAATTCAAATTGCAAAGGGAGTGCATAACCCGAGCTCAGCAATTTCATCCTAATTCTGCATGATTATAAAGGAATGTAAAATAGATATGTTTGCAGATGCTGTGTGTACATTCAGAAATAAGTGGGAGAATCGAGCTTAAAATTTTAAGTAACACTGATATCATTTAAGATCTTTCATTTTTTGGTGCTGATAGCCTGTTTGGCAACATCTAATGCTTCAAATAAAAAATGGATTGTTTGAGTGTAATTTAAACTAATACTTTTTTTTAATATTTCAAAAAGAACGCTTATTCATAACAATTGTTATGAAAGGAATGATACAAAAAGTTATGTAATAGAAGAATTTCATTAGGATGAGAAAAGTCTGTTCTCATTCTGTTTTCAGGAATGGGCTAAATTTTTTGGTAAGAGGCCAAAAATTAAAAAAATAAAAAAAGTTTGGCAGGCCAAGGTAAATTTTCCTAAAATTTTAAAAACAATATACAAGTATTACAATTTAAATATGTTAATGAGATGAATGAAATTACAATTTCATTTTTAAAAATTCCTTATATTGAGGTTCGAAGTAAGATCTTCGAAGTAAGATTGATTCTAAGGAACGAGGATAAATGCTCATCTATCAGTATAGTTCTGAAATAATTCTTTCTATGGTTCATAGTGGAAAAACACTTGTTCACATATATAAGGTGAAGCAGACATAGCACTGATTTTCCGGTCGTCTGATATTAAATTTGGAAAACTTACTTTCGATAATGATTTGTGAAACTCTAACTTAGAAACAGCTGCTTGAGATGATCGTTAGATTGCAACTCAATTAATTCAAGCTACAAACCTGACCTCACTGCTTTACAATTTACATTGAAAGGCATGGTAAAATATCCAATTCTGTTTGAATGGCACTGAAATCTTGAAATATGCATTCGAACTAAAAATGCAATTTTTTCAATCCATCTTCATAATTCTTAAGCTTCTTCATTTACTGAGGGTATTGAATTTAACCTCAGAAAATGAGACAAGTCATTCTTAGCTAGCTGCCCAGCAAACAGATCAAGTTTAAAAACTTTGAGATGGGCCCAGATATCATCGATAAATTGATTTTCCCCTTGCATCTTGACATTCAAATTACTCATATAACAAAGAAGATCTGTGAAATATGGAAAGTTTGAAATCCATTCTGTATCTTCTAACACTTCACATTCCGCGGAGCAATGTTTTCATGGAAGAACAACAGAATGTCATCTTTCAGCTGACAAACTTGCTCGAAAACACATATTGCGCTAAGCCTCCTTACTTTCGCATAATGCATAGATCAGAATATTCAGATTGCATGGATTGAAGAAAATCTCAAAATAGCCTCTGAGTAAACCCACGAGATCGAAGAGTATTTACAAGGTTCACTACTACATCAAGCATGGGTTTCATATTCAGTGCAGATTTAGACAAAGCATCTTGATGTATAACACAATGTAGAAAAACAACATTGTTCCCTGGATAGTTTTAATTAAAGAGTCCAAGGAATCCAGATTTTTTTCCTGTCATATATCAGTCGTAATATTACATATATTTGTTATAGGCACTTTCAAAGTTAAAAGCCTTTCCTGAAATCCATGAAAAATGTCACATCCTGTTGTAATTCCCTTTAAAGAAAGCATGGACGCCAGTTTCTTGATAATTTCAAAGTTCTCATCAACACTTCTACACTTCTTATAAATAGCACTAATTTAGCAATATCATTTATATCAGTGCTTTCATCCATAGCTATAGAGCAAATTTTAAACTGGCCAAATCTTTGACTCTAATTGTGATTTCAAATTTTTATTGATATCTTCGATTCTAGAAGTCACCATTGATCGAGATAAGCTTACAGTCTCAAAATTTTTATCATGTCTGGACATAAAACATCACAAACTTGGAGCATACATTGTTTAATGAACTCTCCATCACTGAGAGCTTCATTATTTTTAGCAATATTGTATGCTACAATGCAGCTTGCATGTGTAAGCTGCTTCTTGGATACTGTTTACCTTCTTGAAAAAATTTTTTCTTCCTTTTTATTTTTTACCAAGACTTTCTGCATTTTGTTTTCTTTCATGCTTGGATATTGCTTCGTGATTGAAATTCTTATGCTTAGATGGGAAATGACGGGAAATGTTATATTCTTTGAAGACTACAGCTTCGTTGCAGATGAGACACACTTTTATCTTTTACAACTATAAAAAAATATTTCCAGGTCCATTGATCATTAAAAGCATGGCACTCTGAATCAACTTTACGTTTTTTAATTTTGGCGTTGAAATATTTTACGAATAACCCAAACAAGCACTAGCTGTGCTATACTTTTAATAATTTCACCACTATTCACAATGATGCTATATGTCCGCAATCTTTCCATACACAATCAATAATATTAGAACTTGCGCCAAAAGAAAAAGCCACTGGTTGGAGTTTAAAATGATCAGTCTACCACATGTGAGATCTTAATTCACCTATATTAGATTCCCATATGTCTGCTCCCCGAGAAAGAGATAACACTTGTTGGCACCAATCTACAGCTGTAACTAACAAAGAACTTCTGCTTTTTCACTTTACAGATTGAAAGCTGTCTGTCCTTGCTATTTCTGTTGATTTATGTTTTGCAGGACAAAAATAGAGAAAGTATAAAGATCATCAATCCTTTGAAGGAAAGGAAAAAAAAAATAATATTTAAATAAAGTAGAAAAGAAGATGGATATATAATATATAAATATATATTTCTTTTAATTTGCCAGTCCAAGGCGAATTCTATCTGTGGGCTGGATAGAACCCTCCGCAGGCCATAGTTTTCCCATCCCTGATAGATCTTTCATTTGTTGGTACTGATAGCCTGGTTGGCAACATCTAATGCTTCAAATAAAAAATAGATTGTTTGAATGTAATTTAAACTAATACTTTTTTTTAATATTTAAGAAAGAACATTTATTCATAATAATTGTTTTGAAAGGAATGATACAAAATGTTATGTAATACAAGAATTTCATTGGGATGAGAAAAGTTTGTTTAGTTATATATTTCCACAAATTTACTTACAATTGGCAAATGATATTTATCATAAAAATCTTCAAAATATAAATGTGGGTTTTAAACATGCTAAATAAATAATAATTTATCATCATTTAAATTGAGGATTTTTATGAGATTCAAAATACAATATAAAAATGTGGCATTATCTATGTAAGAGAGGTTTCTGTAAATACTTAACAACATGAGCTTTTTTTGTATGCATATTACTCTAATGTATAAAGCATTATTTATTAATCTTGTGTAATGCTAGATTATTTAATTTTGAATGTTTTTATAATAAATATCGCTCACTAAATTTCATAGAAAAGTGCAATAAGTTGGAGTAAAATAAATAAAGCAAGTTTAGTTTTTTAAAACAAAGTTTTTTGTATATTTTATATATTATTCCATTTCCCCTCAAGGCAATACTAAAAGAATTAATAATGTTGGTTTAAATGCAACTTTGGTACCAGTTGAATGAAATTTCAGTTTCTTATCTAAAATGTTGCATGATGCCAATCAGGGTTGTTGCATATGTGAATAATACTTACAAGCTCAGTTTTCTTCCTTATTTCCAAATAGTGCACACTGGGTGTTTGCAAAAAAACTCTCTAATTACAGTTTGTGTAAAATTGCTTAGCCAAAGGTCATGTGTTCCACCTCTAAGTATTGTTATCTGCAATTTCAGATGCTAGTTGGTTCTTCAGGCATATTTTTGCTATTTAAAATTAGGTAAAAATTCAACCTTAAAGTTACATGCAACCTTAAAGTGGCATTCATTTTGAATAAAAACCATCAATTTTAAAGATGATCAGACAAAGGTTTGTCTTAGAAGCAAAAGAGTTTTTTTGGCAAAATATTTTTCGTTTCCGAGGGAGAGGGACCTACATTTGATCCCGTACAATTTTATTCGGTACTTTTCCGTTTTGCCGGCGCAAGCGATAAAGTCGCCAATAATGGTACAACCGATGCCAAACGGAATATTCTCACTGGTAACCTTTTACGCCTCATTTTCAAAACAAGTCGCAGCTTTTTCTTATCAGATTGATTGTTTCTTTCAATACTGGTATATAATTACATAGAATTTTTATCAGATAGTTCAGTTTTATGTCTAAGGCCATTTTCGCGGTAATTAAGGTCAATTAGGAAATGCTAATCACATCGCTCTTACCCGAAGGCCGAAAAATATAGAAAAGGAAAGTCAAGGGTTAAATTCATCAATTCTAATGAGAATGCATTAGCGAAGTAAAGCACTCTGCGTTTTACATAATTTCTGAGTAAGCTATTCGTACGCAATTGAAATAATTCTTGCATTTAAACTTGTGTTCCAAATTAAGATTTAACTTGAAATTAATGTAGATAATTACTGAGAGCATTAGATTTTTGTAGAGTAGTTTACGTGAGATGAGATCGCTTGGGGTCACGTGATGTGAAACCGGCGAATCAGGATGTTGTACCATGAAAGCATAGTAAAATTCTTAAATTAATGTCTTTTTATTACAAATTTATTGTCTTTATTTATTGGCTTCATTTTACATAAAGTTTTAAAGCGATATTAAAATGTTTATGCCTTAAAAAAAAAGAATTTCTTAGAACTAAAATTTTTTATGTGTATACTGTATGTTGTCGCCAATAAAGTCTGCTTGGCGAGATTTGCGCCGGCGAAACGGAAAAGTACTTTTTATTCAAATGGGTGCCAAACAATGGTTGCTTTCTTGTCTAATTTCAAATTTTACATTACGTATTTCTCTTCCACTTAGAGTCAGTTTCTATTTCTCGAAAAATACTGTAGCTTTTAAATGTTGAGCATTTATTACATTGTTATTGTTAATGTGACTGGACTATCATATGACTAGGAAAAAATCAAATCATTTACAGCAGCTGATATATGTCACATTTACCTTTCTTTCAGCTCAGAAGTGAAAAAGTGGTAAACAAATTTTCATTATTGGTTTTCATTTCTATTTGCAGATACTTTGATAGTATTGCAATGTTTAAAAGCACTTTAGCATTTGATTGCAGCATCTTTAACTATCTAGAAGTTTTATGTTATACTAAACAAACTTTTGGAATATGCTTGCAGGGCAGTTTAATTTGAAATGTTAAAAAAATTATTATCCATCACTTAATAGTAATATCCATCAGAATACACAGTTTTGCTGATGACATTCTTAGAAACACCAGAAGAATGTCTCGTTTGGTATCTGTGGTACACAGCTGTTGCATTATTTTGGGCAGCTTGAATTATTTATTAAGCTAGCAGAACCATCTTGATAAAAGAGAACAGCCATAAATCAGAGAATGTGAAATCTGGCAATAAAGCAGTTATAGCGTAACATGTGGGGCATTTGTTTTCATGCTGAGTATTCCTTAGCTGTTTTGGCTGTGCAACGCAGAATATTGTGCAAAATCTATCCAATCCTCCACTTCTGTGCTACACTCATACACAGCAGACAGTGAGTGAACTTTATCAGTCCAAATATGCAATTGCTGGTGTTCAAGTTATTAAAAGAAACAATCCACATAATGTTATTTTCAGTTTGCTGCAGGAAACAGCAATAGAGGAAAGGAAATTTGCTCAAGCCATCTCCAGTTGGCAGAGCAGACTTGTTGCCTGCAAAAACTCCTGCTTTACTAATATTTAAATCTTTTTTAGTATGTCAACATAAAACATTTAATTTAATCTGAAAGTATTTTTGCAGTTGAATTTAAATGAATTAATTTCCTTCAAAATTTATTCCAACATATTTATTTTTAAACATATGCAGACAGTTAAAAGTATAAAAGATAATTACACAAATACATCAAACTGAAGTTTTAAATGTTGTGACATCAATTATTGTATCCAGTTTTGGGATGAGTATTAGTATCAGAAAATTTTAAATTTTCATCGAGAATATTTTAGTATTTCTGTTTCATGGTATATTCATGGTATATATATTTATATATACCACATATTCATGGTATATATATCTGTTTCATGGTATATTCATGGTTTCATGGTATATATGTTCATGGTTTTCTGTTTTCATTTAGTATTTCTGTTTCAGGATGGGATATCATGCTTTGTAAAGGTATTTCATGCAATACTAATTAGAATTCATATTTCATTTTCGATTATTCCGAAGTGGTTTTAGAATATTTTAGGAACCCGATTAGAATACATAAAAAATTAAAATTGTTTACATATATATATATATACACACACACAGGGTACAGAGCGATTCAAAACTATATGTAAAAGATGTAAAGGCAGTTAGAGGGGACCTGAATAAGCAGGTTTCGTATAGAAATGTGTGTGTGGTAATGCCACAGTAAAGTGCTAGCATGTAAAGCAGTATGAATCACAGGAAACTGAAAAGACAAGTAAAGACAAAATAAAAAAAATATTAACAGTTTACAATAGATACTTGAAAGAGTGGCCACCAACAGCGATACAAGATTCACAGTGGCAGCCCAAGGATCTATGTTCATTAGAAAAGACATCAGGCATGTCGAGCACATGTCCAGCAGCAACAGACAAGGGGGCAACAAGATCTTCTGCAGATGTGATGGGACTCTCAGGTACACTAGGCCTTAATATGACCACAAAAGAAGAAATCCAAACAGATTAAATCAGGAGAACATGGTGGCCAGGGAACTGGCTCTCCCTGTTCTGTCTAATGCTGGCTGTAGACAGCATCCAGGTGATTCCTGATGTTCTGGCTGAAAAGAGCTGAGATTCGTTCTGGAACCACATTCATATGTGAACAGCTGGAGGAACATTGACCAAAATTTCAGGTAATGTAGAATCGCTTCCTATACATTCTTCGAGCAGCTAATCCATTTCCTTCTGCAGCCCCATTCATGAAATGCATGTCGGCAAGCTCCACATTGGTGTAACGATGCATGCTGGTCGAGATCCATGAGGAAAATGAAGGATCTAGCTAGCGCAGCGCTTTTATACATCGTACTCATCAGCGCTCTCTATTGGTTCAATGTGGCATTACCGCACACACATTCCTATACGAAATCTGCTTATTTAGGTCCCCTCTACCTGCCTTTAGATTTTTGACACATAGTTTTGAACCACCCTATATATATATATATATATATATACATATTTCCAATTTTTAAAGGGAGAAAGGAATGAAATATATAGTAAAAGCATTTTTGTAATTTCCTTGTATTGCATACATTCTCTGGTAGTTTTCAGTTAACTAGGCACTGTTTAACACCAAATGTAAAAAAAGACAAAGACGGAAATTCTAATAATATACACTTCACAAAAGAATGGCTATTTTATTAAATCCAAAATTAATACAAAAATTGAACACAAATACTGAAATTTACAAATAAGAATGTATGTAATTATTCTAGTGAATAGTTGTAAATGACAGAATTCTGCCAGTGTGAGTGCTTTACATAAGAAATAGATAAATTGAATATGTATCAAGAAAAAGAATGTATGAGTCTTTGAATCATTGTCTACTCTCTAAACCTTTTTTGTGCTACATGGATCTTTTGTTGCAACACAAGTTCGGCGCTCCAAGGAGTTATAAAATACAATTTTATTTGTTGGTCATCCGAATAGTCTTTCAGTATGAATGATATGAAGAATTTAATCATGACTTTTGCTCATTTGGCAGCTAACAAATTGCTTAATGCATATTGAATTTTTTTATTAGCATTTTAACCATGGAAAAAAAAAAAAAAAAAATATTGAAATGAAGAAAAGAAAGAGGATTGGTATTCAGTTTTCCTACATATGTAGTAATGTCATTGCATAGCTACTCATGAAATGAAATAAATAAGACATCATATTTAGTGTACATTTGCAGCTGACACCATTTGAACCAAAAAATATCAGTTCTTGAAATTGCAGAATATATTAATTTCAGATTATGTTTTCATCAGCTGAATCTTTTTTATACAAGCTTCGAAATTCCTGAAATTTTAATACTTGAGTAAAACTTTTGATCTTTTTCATGCTGCCACTGTAATATTACAATGTAACATTTCTTATAGGTTCTGCATTATGCATTTCGAGATTACATTAGTACATGGTATCGCCAAATTTCTACTGATGAAGATTTTCTTCTGTATTTAAAAGACCTTGTTCGAAAGGTTATTGTAGCTTTCTCTAGCAGGTATGTTAAATATACTTAATGCAATTTGTTTTATTTCTACAATTCTGTGCATTTTTATATATTGTTTGGTATTTTTACATATCAGATTTAAAGAAGTAGAATGGGTTCATTATTTAACTACAAAGTTAGTTGATGACTTTGCATCCCACCTCCGCCTTTTCAGGCAAGCTCAATCAAAGTTAAAAGATTCTCAAAAGAGGGGTATGTATTTTAGTGTGATTTTATTCTCCCTATAAAGCATAAATTCCTTAGATTGAGTCGCCTGAAGTTTTCCATTTTTAATGATAATTTAAAAATTACATTTTTAAACGTATCATTTTGTTTAAAAAATTGTTGTTTAATTTTTGTAAATGCTGATCATTCACATAGAATGCACATTATCATTGCTTGTAAAAAAAAATTGGATGCTTTCTAAGTTTGTATGAAAAATTAAAACTGTTTTTATGAATTCGTGTTGTCGAAAAAATGCTAACTTTTGTCTCCTATTTTAAGATTAACATCTCTTTAATTGAAATGTATTGTTTTTATATATTTATATAAAAAACTATGAAAATAGTCTGTTAAAATACAGTGGTGATTTACAGTGCTTAAATTTGTTCTTCTAAAGAATTAACTTGGAATTGAAGACTTGATGTTTAGGAAACTTGACAGCACATATGAAAAATATATAAAGGTAGGGTACCTGATTAGAGGTTGTTTAGTCAGAAATTGTAACTAAATATTAAGATTTTTGCTGTACTGAAAAATGGATTGTTCAAATATTGAAGATCTTAGAATGTAAAACAATAAGCAGAGACACTTCAGCTGCTTTCAGAAAATGTCTACAGTTTTTTGGAATGTCCATCTGTTGTGCATATCCATGTCTGTTTACTTGTCTGTTTAATATCCATGTTTATTATATAGCTTGTGTATTGATTCAGTGATATTTTATTTATTACCTTACAGATTCTATTACCTATTGTTGATTTAACTACATTTATTTGAGTTATCCAACCATGTTATTTGGGTGAACTTTTATTTGTTTTTTTATCTCAAACTATAATACTTATTTCTTCCCCCCTTCCATTTTTATTATTGTTTCTGTTTTCCAAATTCATCTGCAGTTTCTTCTCAATTAATTCCACATCTGTCTGTTCATATCTTGATATATATATAATATGATTTTTTTTCTTCTTATCAGATCCTACTGCAGGCATAAATATGTTGTCTTTGTTTTTTAATTTTGAAACTGCAATGGAGGAAAATCTGAGTCGTAATCTAGTTTGTACCTCTAGAAAGTATGCACTTGGTAAGTAATAGTTAAGCATAGCTTGAATGTTGAGCAGGGTATTAATATTAAAATATAAATTGGATAAGCATTTCTAAAACTTTTTAATTTAGTGCATTTTTTTAATGTTGTGTAAAATGTGCAGAGTGATTTTTAGGTTTTTAAAATATTTTTAAATTACACCGATAATTTAAATAATGTTAATTATTTTTATGAATTTATGTTAAAAAATTGTTAATATTATAAGAAAAATGACTAAACTTTATCACTTTTTTATTTTTAATATTTATAAAAGAAGAAGGAAAAGATCAAAATAAAAGAAACATGCCACAATGAAACATAAAATTAGCAAACAACCAACTTTGTGTTTCGTCAGGAGCAAAAAAAATATGAAAGACTGGAAAGTAATGAGCTCAAGGGTTGTATTTATATCCTACAGTAGTAAAGTAAGTGTCATCTATCAGCAAAAATAGTAACGAAATTAAAAAATTAAGTTAATAGAATTTTAAAAGCATTAGGAAGGTCTGGATTAAACTTGAAATCATTAACTAAAGATAAATCTCTGTGAATGGGAAAAGGTTCAAGAAAATCTAATTCTCCAATTGAAGCTTTTTGAATAATTTTTGCAGAACCAAAAGTCAAAATTATGAATCAATTTCCAACTACAGGGTTTGTCTTTAAGAGTCCTTAAAAGTCCTTAGATTTTTTGGAATCGAATTTTGAACCTTAAAAGTCTTTAATTTTGGCCAAAATCAGCAGAAGGTCCTTAATTTTAATCATCTGAAATTTCTGTCTGTTTTTACGACTGTCATTTTGAGTTTGAATTAGCATTTTGGAGGAATATTTTTGGTGATTCACTGTCGGTATATGGCTATCTTTTGAATGGGTGAATAGGTTTATGAGTTATAATTTGTTTCTATTTCTAATATAAATGATTGGATACTCGAAGTTTCTAAGCAAAAAGTGAAACATAAGTATTTAGAAATTAATTCCAGTTTTTCTAATGAAAGATACTCTTAAACAACTTTTCATTTTTGGGGAATGTGAATTCTTTTATTAAACGGTTCTAAATTTGGCGACTTATTCCAACATTTTGGCGATTTTAAGATTACTTTCTATAGAAAACTTTTAATTACGAGATCTGGGAATATTTTGACAATTTTTTTTAAAACATTGTAACATTGATAAATTTCATTAAAATAATGGTAATATATTGAAATTATTATTTAAAAATAACATTAAAATAAAACATTTTTATTTTTCACTGTCGTACTATAAACTGATGTTACTTTCCATTTTGGTGACTTATTATACAATATTTTGAATCTGAAAAATAAACAAGGTATAATGCTATAAATTGTGCTTTAGCAAATTTACGAAAACAGCTCTTAGCAAAAGCAAAATTGGATATCTATGTAATTAATTAAAAATGTCTTGTTTTTAATTTTTTTCATAGTAAGAGTTTTTCCCATGTAATTGTTTCAGAATATTCAAAATTCTCAGAATGTGTATCAGTCTTCTCTATAAAATTAATTTTATACTTTTTCTGTCCTTTTTGTTTTCCAAAATATTTCTGCCTTTTTGCTGTTACAGAAATGGTAGGAATAATTTTTCTTTAGGATTTTAGACATTGCAGCGTGAAAAGTTTAGAAGGATTTGAAGACAAAATTTATAGACCCACGATTCTAGAAGATTCGAGAAATATGTGACAAAAAAAATGTCTCCATGTTATCAACACCTAATGGATGTATTTTAGAGAAGTTTGTAATAAATTTCTTACTTTCTTTGGAGAATGTGTGGAAGAAACAATGAAAACACATATTTGAATGTTTACTTCTGAATACTAGAATCTTAACATATTTATCTTCTCTTTATTTTCTCTACTTTTCACTAGACACAAGCATGGAAAATATCAAAAAGGCTTCTGATCTTATCACATGGGCAGGCATTATAGAAAGGGATTTTTTAATTACAGTACAAAGTCCGTAATTCGGACTCCTCGGGACTTTCGCAATTCCGGATTAGGGTTTTTTCCGGATTATAGATCATCAATTTAAATCTGGTAAGATGGCATGCAGAAATTATGCAATTAAAAGTATGAAACCATAATTTATGAAATAAGGAGCAATTATGATTTAAAGGGTATCAAAATTTACAAAAAAAAAGCATATTATTTATTTGTTTACTTTATTAAACATTTCTTTCAACGTAAGTTGTTTAAGTTACTTTGTTTTTTGTGCTAATACTTTCTCCTTAATTCTATAAACAGACATAATTTCTTGTTCAGTTACAAAGTTCCACTGTTCAAGTCCTGTAATTGCTGTGTTGAGAATACCGACTAACTTGTCAATCGAAATTTTTTCATTTTCAATAATATTCAATTTCGTTTTTTCTCTGTCACTTTCTTCACTAACGGAAGCGCGCATGGATAAACATTTTACTGGCTTTACATACATGCGCAGTGGATGCGTTGTACGTAATAAAAGTAATTTAATTGTATCAAACGCGCATGCATAAGTTTGTGGCTTTGAGGTTCGGATTATAGATCATTCCGGAAAATGGACATCCAGATTACGGACTTTGTACTGTAATAAAGAAATTGGAAAACTTATATTTTAAAAGATTCATCTAATATTTCTTAAAGCATCGTACACGTAGCTGGCACTAGGCATTTTCCCACCTGATGCAATCTCTGTGCATCCTAAATTCTGCTGCCTAGTGCCTTTCTAAATTCTGCTTCCAATGCCTGCTCTAAATTCTAAAAGTTTTGTCATTTCTAGATTTCGTTGTTCGGTGTGTCACTAAATTCCATATATTCTACCACATCAGCTCTGTAACTGGCCTTTACTATATATATTTCATATTGCTCCTGAATGTTCATATTATTAAAGAAATAAAATTAGCCGCTTTTTCTGTACATTCTAAATGCATTTAGCGTTTTTTAGAATAACGGAAATCCTTAATTAAATCCAAAAATTCTAAAATGAAAAGGAAACGTGTTGAAGAAAGAAACTGAATACATAAAAAAATTATTCTTTAAAGATATGTGCAGTTATTATTATGTAAATTACCCAATTGTTTATGATTTCAGCCTTTACTATAATTTTCCATTTCTATTTCCTCATATGATAGAGTTATTGAGCCAGATTAAATTAAAAAATTAAATTGTATAATCTTTGACCACTAGTCCACATTATTAGTATTTGACTGTTCTTGTTTAATTACTTCACTGTGAGCTGTAATTGATTTTGTTAGCATCAGAACATGCCTTTATATCCTAAGTTCTTTTTAAATAAGAGGCTTATTTAAACCTTTGTCTGATATTGTAGTTAATTTCAGACATAGCGACAATATGCTTCACATCTGTCGAGGGCTTTATACTATTTAACTTTTACCATATCAATTAAACCCTCATAGGTACATTGTGGAGAGGTTGGTAAGTTAGGAGATAAAGCATGCAGAAACTAGCAAGAGCATTGATTTGCATATTGAGACAAATCTCTAAGTGTTAGAAAAGATGCTTAAAGAGAAGGAAATCGATATAAACTAGCCAAAATGTCTGGGAAGGCTTCAAATTAAAATGACAGATAAATATTTTGTTGAGTGTTGTTGTTACAAAACATAAATGTTTTGTAGCTTTTAGTGTGTAATTATCGTAATATCATTTAAGAATCTGTGTCATAAATTAAATGTATTGTAAACTGTGAAATTTTATTAGATTTTGATAGGACTATTTTAACAAATATTGTTAAAAAGTAAAATTTAATAGTGGTCATGTAAATCCGTAACGACTAAATTTATCAAACTACCTAATTTAATTATTTATAACTAACTGCTTACCCATAAAAATTATCTCTTCATATTAAAGTGAGTTATTGCCTTTCATTAATTCTCACTGTGGTCAAAAGATAAAATATAAAAATGTAAAAATTCAAGTAAAACTTATTCTATGCATCTACTGAGACTTAAAATAATACAAAACAACTTATCACCTCTGGTGTTTTAATGGCTTATTGGAACCTTAAAGTATATTAACTAGGTTACAACCCCTGGAACTGTACAGGAAACTACAACACTAACTGCATTGAACAGAGCCTGATTAACTTTCGACACTTGAGAACCATGCCTACATCAGGCCTGTCAGGTTTGTTCTAATTAGCAGGTCTCTCTCTAGACAAGCAGCAGCAGTGACAACATTCAGTCTTTTGGGTTATGAATCATGCTGATTATGATCTTACTTCTCATTTTAACGTATGTCATTTGACATAAAATCGACCTGGTTATTTACTAAACCTCTAGACTGACCAAGTATGGGACAAAATGAGACTAAAAAAAAAAAAAAAATCAACATAAAGCTAATTGTTAATAAAATGTAAATGTCACTTATCTTCTTTCAAATATGACCAACTATTATAAGTGTAAAATATTTAATGCTACTTCATAAATTGCATAAAGTTTATTTTATTCTCAAACTTATTAACAATTATGTTAATTAATTCATGTTTAGTAATAATACATACTACTTAGGGATCTATTTTATTTTTAGGATGGTATTACAAAAGTGAAAATCAAGCATAAATAATATTTTCAAATGGATTTATTAAGTTCCCATTTGCTCATAGGTCCTTAATTTTTTTCATTAGTGGTCCTTAAAAGTATTTAGTTTCCGTGTGCAGAAATGTGTACGAACCCTGAACTATGATTAGCTATTGAAGAATTGCTAATTTTGCCTTTTTGGATATCAGATTTGTGTTTCTTGATAGTAAATTTTAATCCTCATTTAGTTTGTCGTCTATATCCCAAACCACAGTGACACAGTATGCTATAAATTCTCGAAGAATTAAAGTCAGAAATAAAATCTTTAGAAATTGAACCATGGATTTTATATGTGAGAAAATGACTTCAAAGTTGAACTTAGGGAGAATTTGTGCAATTTTGTAATTGATAAAAAGATGAAATGTAAGCATGTCAAGGTTATTAATTCTATTTCTAATAGCAGATGTCTTCTTTGATGGTAAGCT